CCACATGTCCAACTTTCCCTCCTTACCAGTTACATTACTGGCTTAGCGAAGTGAAGGAGTGCGTCTGTGTCTGTGCTGGGTATCGAACCCCGGACCACATGTGTGGTTGGCAAGCATTTTGCCTCTTCACCACTGACGCTACTGTGAACTGTTACTGAACTATTCTTTTAAAGTAGGGTTGTGTTATTTGCTGATGATAGTATTTTTCTTTCAAATGTTCAAGTTATTTGTTATACGTCACCCTGTCTTGCCTGACCTGCCTGACCTCCTAGATAATCACTGATTGCATAAACTAAGCGGTTAGATGATTTGAGTGAATTGTAATCCTTTTCTATAACCTCTTACTACAACTTTCAAACTCATGTGACTAGTCAGGCGACAAATATGCAAACGATTACAATGTATTATAATCACGAATTTTCGTTTGAGAAATGCGTGAAATGCTTATTATTGAATTGTTCAAAGCTTTTAAGTGATAAAATAGGGTTGTTGTTGTTTTTTTTTAAAAACTAGTCACAGGATGAAAAGAAACCCTGGACATGACCACTGTATATCTAGACTATAAAGCAATTGTTTTCTCATAAACTGTTTTTATCACATTAAAATGAACTGTCGAAATCACTCTTTGGGATTTATAGTATCATATAAATTGTATTGTTCTTCCATATTGCTTACTATTCTTTTTACCTCATATCTCTTTTCATTGTCTCCCTTTTGAATCTCTATCTTTATTCTCTTCTCTTGCTTTGTGTTCTACATGGAGGGAGTGGGACAACTCGAACTACTGCACATCTCTGCAAAGTTCTGCGTTGAACCCAATCAGCTAATCGAAATCAGACACTGCAGCATACACTCCCAATATGCATATATTCAGCAGTCTATTTTTCATAATATTTAATGGGATTTTTAAAAAATATTAAGTTAAAATTTTTTTATACCATTTTTTATTATTATTTTTGTTTTTTTTGAAATTATATAATATATAAATATGGCTTTTTGTAGTTTCTTGTGGACAGTGAAAATCAAAGTCGTACGTGTTCAGAATACAGTATACATATCCGGCTATCGACCAAAGGGCGGGTGTACTGCTCATCAGTCCGCTCCGTCCTCCTTCATGGCCACTGTGAGACCTGGCCATTGAGATAAAGACATGAAAAGATTAGCTGTCTTTGATCATAGGTGTCTGCGTTCTATCTCTCGTGTGAAGCGGTATAATAAGGTGAACAATATTGAGGCTAGATATCGGTCGAGTGCTAGGTAGGTGGGAGGAGAAATCAATCGACGAGGCTGTGAAGCAGTTACATCGATTGAGATGGTTAGGACATGTGTTACGTATGCATACCTAGTCATCGCCTTCGTCGACTGACGGGAAATGTTAGCTGATATAGGGTCAGCTGGAAAAGGGCTAGTGGTGGTCAAACCAAAATACAGATTGATCAGTCGATGAAATAAATCCACGACAGTTAGTTTAAGCCAGCTAGTCACGTAGGAAGATGTAGACTGGCTTCCTGGTTGGGGTCATCGGGACGGTAAAAACCAATGAAGGCTGGAAACAATTGGTGATATGGCTCAAAATCGTTCTCAATGTCTGGCGCAAATGCATCCACTCCTTGTGACTTATGATTTCCAATGAAACTATATCGTTCTTCGTTATTACTATTCCTATTACCATACTCACACCTCTGTTTACTGTCTCTATTATGCATTTCTTCTACTTTCTTCTCTCGCTTTGTGTGGTACATGGAGGGAGTGTGGCGACTTGAACTGGTGCACATATGTGCAAAGTTCTATGTCGAAAACAGACAGATATTGATATTTTATAACATTAAGGTAAATGAAGGGTAAAGTTAATCAGGAGTTCCATATTAGGAACACCTTTTGGATCTGGATCACTAGATTGTTAAATAAAAAAATTCCGTCTTCACAATTCAATACATGGTGCCATCTCATTTCACTAAGTTTGTACGCCTTTGATTGCTAAGCCATGACTGAGGCAGTCACCATAAAAAAACCTTTCCAGCTCAATCTTTGTGTTCAGAAAAAGTTTGTTCAATCAAACCTGACCTGTTGATCCACTTTTTTTTTCAAATGTCTATGACTGATTGATATTTTATTGTATAATTGTGTAAACCCTGATGGGAATATTACCGAAAATGATTATTAGCTTGATTAAATCTCATTCTGAATTTCAAGTAAAGTGAATTTGGCATTATGAGAATTCACTGACATACAAAAATATTATTGCTGTGCGTAAAATAAATTGGTTCGACAGAGATTTTCTAAAGATTGCATACATTTAAATATAAGAGGATAATAAGACTGTTGACAATTGAGGAATCTGAATTCGTCTCCCCCTAACTACTACTCCTTGGAAGCCCTAAGAATGAACCTTGGTGAAATGCCGTTTCGTACCATTTTGCTTCTCTAGGATCACGTTGAAATCACTGATCAGTTTTCTTTTCATCAGAGGATTAAGATACCACTGATTCGTTGTATATCAGATCGAATTGACCTAAACACTGGACAGCCGTTTCGCTTGTTCGGAGCGGAGCTTATCAGCCGTGTATCCGGTTTGATTCACCCCAGAGAGCCGAGTTAGTTCAAACTCAGTCAGCTCGTCACTACATTAGTAGAAAGGCATCTGAATACATGCGAAAAGTGGTCTAAAGCCAAACTCTGCCACCCCCAACACCTCCTCTATTCCTAACTCTCTCCTTGCATCTTATCAGGCAGAATCAGAAATCAGTGTAAAATAATATATGCTCGTACAACCAAGTACAGGAACTCAACGATACCATATTTGGCCCGTGTTCTAAGTGACAGAGACAACGTTAAGCGCAAAACCTATGACTTACTTTATTGTTAATAACATAATTTTAGGCTCTTTTATTTCTCTTTTATTTGTATTCTATAGTGAACACCTTCTTAAACATACTTAGCTACCTAAATTAATAACATTGGCTTACTTTTTGTACTTTATTCCTTCTTTTGTGTACCTACTGGTTCCGACTATATTATCACTACGAGTATTACAAAATTGTCCTATCATTAACCATCATGTAATATTAGTTTTGTGATTGTTTTCTTTTGTGCAGCAATGTTAACTGACAATCTTGGTTGTGAACGCCATTTTCACCATCTGAAAATTTTGTATTATGCAGGATTACTCGCACTACCACTACAAATGCCGCATTAGAGCTGACAATAAAAAACCCTGAAATGTTATTTTATAATTGTTTAGTGTTGTTCAATCAAATTAAGTGATCATCTTGGCGATAAACATTCTTAAATTTCATTTCATAACTTCTGGTATGACTATAGCTTTACTGTCACCACGCATAAACATATCATAACTTCCACTACCGAATACTGAGATATTATTTTATGTTGTTTATTTTCCTTTCTACTTGGTATTTTTTCGCATTTTTTTTAATTATTTTTTGTTTATCTTGATGTTGTCTTTATATTTATTTTTTGAGATACTCCTTTTAAATGTTTGATAAAATTAGATGCAATATTGTAGATAAAGTGCTGGAAATTCCACACTGTACCACTGGTACTGTTTCTGGAATAAAGCAAATTGTAACGATGAGATGAAAGCATGTGGGCAGACGTGGAGCCAGGTGAAAACGTTGACAAAGAACCGAACGCAATGAGGATGTCCGGCTGAAGCCCTATGTTTTCTCTAGGAACTTAAGGAAACAGTAATAATAAAAAAATAACTTGGGCGAACTGGTGTTACCATAAGTCAAATTCACAATTTGCAAATTAGTTAGGAATTTGTAGTATATAAAGTTAGAAGCGTAAAACGTTTTTTGTTTAGAAACAAAAATATTCAGATCATAATATGTGTGATCTGATTGATACCATAATTGGTGATCAATAAACCAAGCATATTTATATATAAAACTATATACTACTGATTGGTTAGGTTGAGTAGTTGTATACCCGTGATATGCTCAACTACTCAGAAATCGGATGATTTGAACTGATTTGGCTCTGCCTGAGCTGAGCTGAGTCGAACAGGCTATAACATTCGTGAGCTCGCCTGCAAACAAATGGAATGAACGTCCAGTGTTTAGATCACTCCAATCTAAGCGTCGGTGGCACAGCGGTTGAGACGCTCGCCGACCATGCACATTGTCCGAGGTTCGATCCCCGGCCGACGCACTCCTTTACCTCGCTAAACCAGAAATAATGCTGGTAAAGAGGAAAGGTTGGGCATGAGGCTGGCAACCCCATCCTGTAAAATTAAACACCACTGCTACAGAAACTTCAGGCCACTAGCTTGAGGTCCTCTGTTCCACTGGGAACGTGAAAGAAAAAGAAATCTAACTAATAAGTCTTACTGGTTGATATGAGTAGTATACAACTATTTCATCCCAATCAATCAGTAGTAGCACATGGTATCACGATTGTAATTCGGTTATTTATTATTGTCTGCGATTGGTGTAAATCTTTATTTACTTTAATGCATATTTTTACGAGTTGATCACGGGTTGATATCAGTTAGAGAACCATTGAAAATCAAGCAGTACTGGACAACTGCTGTTTCATCCTAGCTTGCGAATCATCATCAGTACGCACCCACGCTCTGGGATTCGAACTCAGGACCTTCCGGTTACAAGGCAAGCTCGTTTACTATTCACCCACTGGGACCCGATTCAATGGCCAGTTCATGAATTCCAACTTCTACCACTTCGTGATTTAGCGCGATCCCAACCATTGTCGTTGGTGGGAGATCCATCCATACACGTGACATCTGATTGGACCTCACTGTCCAGTACTGCCTGATTTTCAATGGTTCCCTAACTGATATCAATCCGTGATCAACTCGTAAAAACATAACTAACCCTTACAAACCAAACTATAGAAAATTTAATGCATATACCATAAAGAAAAAAATATTTGAAGTCTATATTCGTCGCATTTCATTTTTCCTTTTCCTTCTATTGGTGTTTTTTTTCTACATGCATTACTAATTAAAATTAATCGTCAAGTGCAAAACCCTTCTACCAAGTTACTTGAATTCAGATGGTTTTCAAGCATCATCATTGTATATGAGACGATGGAGAAGACGTCAGAACAGAAAGTTGGAGATGAATCAGCTCGAAGGTGGACAACAATTTCAGCAACAACAGCATCCATCGGGTGAGTCTACTGATTTTCTAGGTGTATTCAAAAATGCTATAATATATGACCAAATGTATGTGTGTATATGGCGCAGTAACTCTAAGCTCTCGAATTCAAAGCAGTGGGTCACGAGCTGGAACTTCGCTCGACCTACTGAGGTTTGAGCAGTCAAGTGGTACCACCAGTCGTCAAACAATAGGCGTGGTTCATTGCCAACAGTATGGTTGTTAGGTAACACTTCATTTCATATATGGTGTAAATGAGTAATAAGTGCAGGTTCATGCACTAAATCGTTAGACTTGAAAACGAAATATCTTAATTACCTGATAATTTGTGGAGATAAAAATGCCTAAATATCACAGATAACTTTCCTTATTGTATTGAACTTGACCATGTGGCAAACTTTAGGGTGCAAGGTGACTAAAATACACGTTGGGCCGACTATAGAAGACTGTATAAGATCTGGGCTTCATGAACAACTTGTGTCCATTTAACACAAACTCAAAGAAATATAGATGAAAATCAACAAGTTGGCGAAAGAAGCAGCGGAAACTAGGAGTAACGAAGACAGGTGATGAAGATACCCGGTGACCACCACCACCAACAACAAGTATCAGTCACTCACTATTGGTGGGGGAAACCTTAGGGGAGTTGTGTCTTTTCTTTACTCGGACAGTGTTCTTTCAACTACAAGCCTTATGGATATGGATGTCAAAGCCGATCAGAATCGGAAAGGCAAGACGGGCCTTCATTGCTCTGAAATCAGTGTGGAAATCTACTGCACTCATCATAAGGAACAAAGTTTGTACTCTGAACAATAACGTCAAGTTAGTTCTTCAGAAACTTTGCTCATGAGTTGTTCAAAGTTCTTCGAACAGCCTACTGCAGACCAAACTTTCGTCAACTACTGCTTCCACTCCTTACTGAAGATAAGGTGTTCAGAGAGAGATAGCAACAAGGAACTCCGGTGGCGAACCACACAAGAACCTATTACTGAACAAATGGGCCAAAGAAAATGGACATGGACCGGACTTTCGCTGAGGAGACCATGTAGCGAAGTCTGACGCCAGACTACTGAGTAGAGTCCGCATAGGCAACAATCATTTGGGCGTCCTGAAGTGACATGAAGGGAATCATTTGAGGAGAAAATAAAAGCCTTTGAGAAATTGTGGATCCAGCTTGAAAGGATTTCAGGAGGCAGGATGAAATGGAGATTTGTTGTTCGACCTTAAGGTAATAATAATAAAAATATTTGTGTCCCGACCGTTAGCTACCACCTTGACGTGATAGTCGAACTTGCATATCGCAATGACCCAATGAACTACGTTGCCTGGAACTAGTGTTAGAAAGGTCGTTTGGATAGCAATTGGACTAAAAGGTGTTACTGTCATAGTGAAATCTATTTGCAGTATCTGAGGATCTTTTGGTGAAGTCGTAATGCTGGAGGACAGAGATGTAATAACAGTAAGGTACAATTTTCAGATGACCAGTATGTCAGTTATTCTGCCTCCCTGCTTTGAAGAGTGGTCTTAGAAAAGGTCCACCCCCAAAATCGTACATCCTGACTTCCTTTGCAGTGGTCATTAGCCGGTGGTAAGATTGTAATACGGATGAAACTCCAATGACCGCATTAATTGTTTATGTTTACCACAGAAACACCACAAATCATCCGGCATAGAATAAAGCAGTCAGTTAAATTCTCATTCTCGTTTCTTTCTAATAATTTTTATCCACTTTCAGTAACCAATAGTTTTTCAAACCCAACTTTACATTCAAAAAAGTGACAGTTCTAATCACTTTGGAAATGATATCACGTAACAGTGAGAAATAGATACCACAATCAAATAACCTTGAACCAGTAGTCAACCAGATTACTCCACATTACAAATGAGTACTTTTCATAATCTTCGTTGCACGTTTCATCCTGTTTATGATTATGGTGAGGGTAGGATTAAGGTAGGTTATGATGAAGGTTAAGGTGAAACTTGCAACGTAGATTACAAAAACATTCAGTTGTGATGCTAAGCGATATATGATTCATTGGTCATTCAAGGTCATTTAACCGTAGTGTCTATTCTTTATTGTTGCCGAAATCACTTTGTTAGCTCCTTAATAGGGAATGGTACACTGACTGCAGAAAGAAATACTGTAATAATAGTAATAATAATACTAAAATATTTTTTTTATTGTTAACCATATAGATGTCTCGGATAACTGCGAAAGACATATGCTCACAAACATTCCAGTTACAGTTACAACTGACTCAGCCAATTATGTTGATGTCTGTACGCCAACAAATTCCTCTTCTACAGTTATCAACAATGCTATATCCCCAGGGAATTATAAGAAAATACTAATTGATCGTTATTTATTGAGCCAATCAAAATCACTTTCTGCAACCAATGGAAACACGTCTCCATTTGATGAGAAGGTAAAATGTTTTGTGTGTGATATTTATTTGATTAAAGTAGAACGTTCGAACGATATTACGATTAAAGTGGTGAAAAATTCATTGATATCAAAAGTTCGAAAAGTTGTATATTCTTTTGACAGATGGCAATAAAAATGATTCCAAGTCAAAAGATAGAGTTTGCATTCCTCCATCTAGGTATTGTCATTAGTATTCAAGTATTGGTTTGTAGGGATTTGATTGATTGGTTACAGGACTTCATCATGAGCTGATATTGGTTAGAGAACCACTGGACAACCAGCTGGAAGTACTGGACAGCTGTTCCATCCTAGTTAGGGACTCGTCATCAGTGCGCACCCACCGGGGTTCGAGCTCGTATACCATTAAGCTACTGGGGCCCGATCCAATGGTCAGTCCATGAATTCTAACTTCTGCTAATTCACGGTATAGCGCAACCGCTAGCCAATGTCTTTGGCGAGTATTTGTCCTCATACCCTATCTGCTGCACCCCATGTGGTCACGACTTCCCACTGGAACCCCAGGTAACTACCTACCTGAATAGGGCCAGTTGCCAGTCAGCATCTCATTAGTGTTGTAATTCGTGTTGTATTTCCTGTATGCTGCTGCTCTTTGATCTGACCATTTGAATACTGACTCGATGAAGACTTCATACCCATTGGGCATAAATGCGTTAGGTAAAACTAGTGTAACCGACAATATTATCTAGTCAACTGCGAGTTATACGAATCCAATGGGCTAATGAAAACTACTCTAATGGCTAAACATACAGCGTCAGCCACAACAACACTAGGAATACCACCTGCACCAATATATATATATATGAAAGAAAACGGATCGTTGACAAGAGAGCTTTTACTGTCTCAAACAACAATCACATAGTAGCTGAATATACATTGAGACTAAATAATTCTGACAAGCGGTGAATACAGTGATAAATTGAAAGAGTTAGAAAATAATGGCAGCCTTCAAAAATATTGGAAAATACATATATATATATATATATATATATATATATATATATATATATATATAACATTATAATTGATTGAATAGTTTCATTACTTCTTACAGATGGTTTCTCCCCAGCCAGAAAAGAAGCAATGTAAAATTGATCATGGAAATGCAACGAGGAATTCGTTCAGAGCAGATCTAAACTGTATAGACAACATATCTGTTGAATGTAAAAAGTCTAATCAAGGTTTGTGTTGTGTGTATATAATACCTATTTCTTTTTTAATCTTGTTTTCTGTTTGTACATGCTACTTTAATCAATTTGACTTTTTTTCCTCTTCTAATGTTTCACTTTCATTAGGGAGTGAGATAAAAACTGACTGGTTGTTGTTGTTGTTGTTATTATATACGCATGAGCATATGCTGAATAAGATTGCAAAGCCAATCAGGGGATATATACAGGTAAAACAAACAGAATGTCATAAAATTTCCTATCCCTGTGATGTGACAACATGATGATGACGGTGATAACAGTCTTTAGCATAACAAATAAAGTATGTATGCCAGTAGCTGAATGGTCACCGGGCTCTTCTCGTGAGCTGAATCTCCTGGTTTCGATATCCACTAGGTTTGTAGGTGTGCACTTCTTCAGTTTATGCTACTACTCAAGCTCTGTAGTTGAACTAAGCGGAAAGAACTTTGACTATTATTTTCATATTTATTTCCTTTGAGTTCCGAGTTTCGCATAGGGCTTCAAGCCTAAGTTTTTTGAAATTTGAGTATATTCAGAAACAACCAATCACGTTCAAGATCACCAGAAGAGATATCTGGCAAACTCCTAGAGAAATATTAAAGCTCATTTCAAATAGAAGTTCCAATAAATAAAGAACGAACATATTTGCAGGATAATATGAGATCTTTTCATTTCGTGAATTCTCTTCAACTGCGTACATCCCAAGCCATCCAACATGGATACCCTCAGAAGTTCATGGCAAATGGTGAGAAAGAAAAATTGCCTAGACCGAAGCCCGAAACAGTTGAAAAGAAACCAGTTTTTATCTGTCTAGCATACAAAGGCGAAGAAGTATCCATAAGAACGGAGAACAGAATTAAAGATGCATTGAAAAGAACATTTCCCACTGCTCATTAACCCAGTCAAAAGTAGATAAGTATCCTGCTCATGTCAACTCCAACTGCATGTACCAATTCACCTGCACTCGCGTCAGCCATTACATAAGAAGGACTGAGAGGAGAGAGCGTCTACCAGATTCTCCGAGTATATCCCTAAAAGTCACTGTCTGAAAGGCAGCAAAGTGTTCTCAAGCGCAATCGCCAGATACCCAATTGAAGCGGGACATACAATTGAAATTGGTCAGACCTTAAAAATAACCAACACACACAGAAAAGCATAGTTACTTCTGTTCATAGAAGCCATTGCCATCAAAAGACTTCGATGCAACCTATGCATAAAGAAAGAGAGAGTGTGACTAATCTCTCACTACCTTGGTAACCATAATTGTTTTGTTCTGTTGCATAACATTCCACTCGATCTTGATTTTGATTTTCACTCACTGGCTTGAACTCACTACTAAGGTTTCAAATCTACTAAATTAAATTATTTTTTTCAATTTTATAATTTTACTTCACTGTTCATCCCACCCTCCTGAACTCTCCACCATAATATGTATAAATTCACTCCCCGTTGTTCTATCTTGTATTTTGTCTCTAGTCCATACTTGTTTCCAAAAGAAATCTGAATTCTACCTATTTTTCTAACTTCCCTATAAATAATTACTCTTTTAACACTAAATAATTGTCTATTCACGTCATCTTTGAAGTTATGTTGCTTATACTCTCTACCTATAACTTGAAATCATTGTAAAAAATATTTTGAGAAAATTTTGTAACATAAAATGGATTTATTTAGGATGTACGCAGTTGAAGAGAATCCACGAAATAAAACGAGCTGCAAATATGTTCGTTCTTTCTATATTCAAACCAATAAAGGGAACCGGTTGTACAAACAGAAGTCTTCACTGATGTTTTTGTGTCATAGGAGTTATTAAAAAGACGATTGCAGCGAAGAAAATTTTCTTTTCGACGAAGTCATCATCTAGGCTGTACATTCGTGTGTTTATATCAAATGGATGGGAAAGTTCCAGAATGATTTCTGGCTAAGGGTCAAATTAATAAAAATTACAATTGGGAATTAGAATGCTATAATAAACAGGAGGGTGGATAAAACGAAAACATCGACTTTACACTTGAGACTGAATCCGACGGAATGTTCCACTTCCTCGACGTTCATCTGACAAGAAACGCCAACAACTCTCTGAAAAGGTCCATATACAAAAAGCCTACATGGAATGGACAATACATCAATTTTCAAAGCTTCGTGCCCCTAAGCAGAAAGAGGAACCTGATATACGCTCTTTCCTCGAGCATTCGGAAGATATGCAACGAGGAAGTGATTGAAGAAGAACTGCGTAATCTCCGAAAAACCCTGATGGAAGACGGTTTCCCGCCCAGGTTCATAGACAAGAATCGCAAATCTAAGAACATTTCCGAGCAAGTCCAATCCGATCGAAAGAAAATACTTCTGCTTAATCTAGAATTCAAAGATGGTACTGAAGCAGAACTCCTTTGCAAACGCCTCTCCAAATCGCTGAGGAGAACATACTTCGCCGAGAGCCTACGACTGACGTTTTCCTGCAAGAAACTGTTCAGCCAGAACGCGAAAGACAAGCTGTCGCATTGGGCCACCTCGACGTGCATATACCAGTTTACTTGCTCTTGCAGAGCTGAGTACATCGGCCGTACCATGCGCCGACTTGAAAAACGCGCTCGTGAACAGCCTGGCTAGTAAAAGGAGACCAAAAACGTGTATGTAGTTCAGTGACAGAACATCTGGTCAACTCAGGACATTCAGCGCCTTTCGAAAAATCCTTCAAAGTATTATACAAGATTCAATCAAACCTATCAAAGCGAGTGAAATCAAGACATCTGGGCATAGCTGAGGCGCTAGCTATACAAAAGCTCAAACCAAAGCTTTGTATCCAAAAGAAATACGTCCAACCCCTGTCCCTGCCATGGTCATCATAAACAGGTAAATTTTTTTAGTAATGACCATTCCATCGGCTTCCTTGTCTAAACTTCCTGTATATTCATGTTATTTTACGTTTTTCTTAATCCCTGTTTACACTACCATATTTTCATATCCGAACTTTGTGTTTATTTTGTCACCTTACTATTTGTACTTATTTAATCCCGATTGCTTAAACAATTATTCATCACATTAGTTTTTATCCAAACATCCTGTCTATTTTGTTATTTCTACATTTCTAACCCCTAACTGCACAGTATGTCAATCTTCGCAGTAATTATGATGCTACTTTGTTTGTTTTATCCGTTCCCCTGTTTATTATGGCATTCTAATTCCTAATTGTAATTTTTATTAATTTGACCCTTAGCCGGAAATCATTCTGGAACTTTCCCATCCATTTGATATAAACACACAAATGTACAGCCTAGATGATGACTTCGTCGAAAAGAAAATTTTCTTCGCTGCAACTGTCTTTTTGATGTGTTTGTCTAGAAATACGATGAAAGCATGGTAGCTAAGCCATCCATCTCAGAGAATATAGCAATGTAACGGCAGAAGACGAAACATTTAGTATCTCTATATAGGCAAATTACGTACACCTTATCTTCAACGCACCATTTGCACAGATCTCCCGTGTTGTGTTACTTCTGCCCCTCTTTCATATTGTGTTACTTTATGCTCCTTTTACGTCTTCCATGTATCTCCGCAACACTGTATCATTTGCTTTCTCTGACATCAAATCTATCTCCTGCTATTTGGTGCTTCTATGTCGATGAACATCTCTTTATACACATGTACTACTGATAAATCTTATCAGCAGCATACAGGTGACAACTGCACACCAGTCGCACTCATTTAAGCTACAAATCTTCTCCATCATATCTAAGGTTCATGTATAATTTATCAATTCCTAAGACACATATTTTTAGTATTTTTAATATGTATATGCGTTGAAGTTTCTGTAGCAATTTGGTTAAGTTTTGGGGGTGGAGTTGTTAGCACCACGCCTCAACCCTCCTCTTTATCATGGCTTGGGACCGGCTACACAACTAGCGAGCTAGTAAACTAGGCAGCAACATCTAGCGCCAATCACCATCAACGGGAGGGATTTGAAAGAGGTTACTTCATTCACTCATCTAGCGAGCATTGTCTCAACTACAGGAACGTCGGAACGGACGAGGATGTCAAATCGAGCGAGAATCGGGAAGGCGAGAAACACATTCATCAACCTGAAAGCACTCTGGAAATCTTCGTCACTCAGCCAGCATCAACAACAAAATTCGGTCGGATTTCCAATACAAACGTCAAGTCAGTCAGTTCTTCTATACGGATCAGAAACTTGGCGGGCGGGTCACAAAGAATATTTCCAACAGGTTGCAGACCTTTATCAACAACTATCTTCGCTCTATACTGAAGATCAGATGGCCGGGCCGGAAAGAATCACCAACAAGAAACTATGGGAACAAACAAAACAAGAACCAATCGCCGCCCAACAAATATGCAGGAGAGAGTGGAGATGGATTGGACACTCTTTGAAGAGGCCGCTGGGTGACATCGCGCGCCAGGCCCTCGAGTGGAACCAGAAAGGGAAGCGGTGAGTGGGACGTCAGTGCAAGGGTGACATAGAGGAGATCGTGTGAAGAGGAATTGAAAGAGTATGGACTAACATGGATGCGGGTGAAACGTACAGCAGAAGACAGAAGCAAGTGGAGACGTGCAGTTGAAGCCCTATGTTCGACTAGGAACCCAAGGGAACAATAATAATAATATAATAAGACATGTACCTTCTTCAAAGTGTTATTAAAGTTCAGATATATATTTTTTTGAATCTCACGTGTCACCTTTAATCCCTTTAATTTTGTGTGATATATTTCAATAAAAATAATCGCTAAAATTTTTTTCCTCCTCTCTAGGTGTGTTAGATACTACTGAAATTGCAAACATTCAGTCTATATTTGAATCTGCACTCCATGCTACAACAAAATACCAGTTAACAAAGAATGAGAATACAAATAATCAAAATTTTATCTTGTCAGATAATAACCCTACCAATTGTAAAAAACGATGCAATGAATCCAATACGCTACTTCCTAAAGTCCATTCAATACCATCTGAAGACAATATTCAAAGGCAGCTATCAAATCAAAATAGTCTCCTAGACAATCTTATTATGCAAGTGATTAACAGAAATATTAATTCTAGAATTTCATCAATTGGTAAACCGCATCACTTTAATGTAAGTGATGTTTTACAATGATGTGATTGTTTACTTCTTTCAGTATACTACTACTTAATTCCTTTGAAGTAATAATCTATCAGTCTTGAAAACTTGTTAACGCCAAATAGTCCAACCAATATCTCTACTTGATTATTTGTGAAGACTGTTAATAAAAAAACATGCCTTTTAAGTGCTAATTTGGTGCGTCTTCGTTTTTCTAATACTATTCACTCCGGAAGTGTTATTATTGCACCACTGTGATTAGCTAAATTTCATGTGTATGGTGGATGCTAACACGATCGTGGAAACAACTATGGAATATTGGTAGAAAACAATTTTGTTATTATAGCTTGATTCCACACCGAATTTTCGTTACAAGTATGGAATTCTCAGCATGTGATATCGGTAGCTCAAGTTTTGCAGGCCGACCATTGATATCAGGTGTGCGTCGGGGTGGGCTCGAACCCCGGATCATGTACATGATCGGTGAGAGTCCTAACCGCTGCGCCATTGATGCACAATTTGAGGCTTTTCCACAGGTTTCATATTTATTTTTGTTGCTTTTGACTAGTTCGAAATAGTTCATTTTTTTAAAGTCACTTATTCAATTTCGCTTCAAGTATTTGAGAACATAAAGCTCTTCGAATGCTTAATCCTGCTCCTAGGTTATGGTGGAGATATATGGGTGACACATTCAGCGTGTTGAAATTTGTATATATTTCTAAGTTACCCACAAATATAAACTCACCGGTAGATAGATGGAATCCAGTGCACTTCGAGTTAGAAAATAAACACGATGATTCAACTTTGCTAGACTATAAGATAAGACAAAAACATGATGGGGGCTTATACATTAACATTTATAGGAAACGGACACTCTCTAAAAATACTTAGACTTTAATTCACCCCATCCAGAATCGATAAAGGTAGGTTTGGTTAAATGTTTATATATTCGAGCCAGGTGCCTAATTAGTAAATCAGAAGACTTAAATAATGAAATCAAACAAATAAAGGAAGTATTACTAGTGAATAGCAACTCACCAGAGTTTATTCAAAACTATATGAAGAACCATAGAAAAAATTAAATCAGTAACGGAAATGACAAAATATAGAATTCAAAGCCTCTGTAACACTGCCTGCCGTATGAAGAAGGAACGGGAGAGGCATTACGTAGGATTCTCAATGTGACTGGAATTAGTCAAGATGGCACTGAAACCAACCAACTCCCTTCTGAGATAATCTTTGTTGGTTTAAGGACCCGGTAGATCCAATTAAGAATAATAAAACGATGGGGGATTTCATCATGAGCTGACATCAGTTAGAGAACCACTGGAAAACCTGGGAGTACTGGACAGCTGTTTCGTCCTAGTTTGGTACTCTCAGCAGTGCGCACCCACTGAAGTGCGGACTCAGGACCTTCTGGTTACTAGGCGAGCTCGTAGAACGTTAAGCCACTGGGACCCGATCCAATGGCCAGCCCATGAATTCTAACTTCTACCAATTCACGACATAGCGCGACCATTTCGCAATGTCTTCTTCGATGAGTTACTGCGTCATTTTCGACCTGCTGTACCCTACTGGTCACGGCTTCCCACTAGTACCCCAGGTTAACTTCCTGAATAGGGCCAGTCGCTAGTGAGCATAAGAATAATTTTCAAGTATTGGTTTTGTAGGGATTTTGTTTTATTGTATGGAGGATTTCATCGAAGAAGACATTGCGAAATGGTCGCGCTATGTCGTGAATTGGCACAAGTTATAATTCAAGAACCATTAGATCAAGTCCCAGTGGCTGAATGGTCTACGAGCTAGCTCGCCTTGTAACCAGAAGGTCCTGGGTTCGAACCATGACGGTGGTGGGTGCGTACTGTTGAGGAGTCCCAAACTAGGACGATAGTCATATTGCTCTTTCTTACACTAAGCTCACCGATTAAATTTTTGTTCTAGGAATGATTGAAATAGAATCTTATCTGTTGCTTTTTTTTCCTACTTATAGGTTCTAGATTTAATACACACATTATTGATTAGACGTGGTTCCTCGATGAATTCTGACCATCAACAACGAGCTACTGCTGCTGCTGCTGCTAACGACACAAGAGTTCCATTGAATCAAGAACATGTTTCATTGCTTGCCAATAATACCGAGAATCCATCTACGCCTAAAATTGGTTTACTATCCGTCTTAGAACGGAATAATTCATCTAACAATTTATTGTTTCAAAAAAGAATTATGAAAGAGTCGTTGAATGATGATAAAGAACAGAGACCAGAAGAACAGCAAGAACAAGAGGAAAAGTCAGCGTTTTTGCCTACATCAAAATCTGCTACACTTGGTCAAAAGACTTATTCAATGATCAAATTATTTAGATTTAATTCAGAATTTAACAAGGAATCATGATTTCGACGAATCTACTGTAAATCCTTCGTTAACATTATGCAATCAACCATATACACATCATCAATCAGTTCAATATTGTCATCATTCAATTTACCCACACCTAATTCTCATTCTCCGCTTCCACAGCAACATCAAATTCCATCTTATAAAGTACAAAATTCAATCCAGAATAAATCAGACATATTGCGGACATCTCACCCTTTGAAGAATCATCCATTGGATCATGAACATTTATCTGGAGCATTGATATCACCTTCATTATCACCACTACCACCATCATCATCATCATCGGGGTCGTCGTCATCTTCATGTCCGTCACCATCTTTACAAAAGTATTTAAAGTATATTCGTAGCATCAGCACGAATACTTGTCATAATAATAGTAATAATAATACTGTCTCTGCCTATCCATCACCATCATCATGTACTTCTACACCGAGATTATCATCACCATTTATTCATAATTCATCCAAAAGGTTTGCACAGTTCAGTGAAAGCAACAGTCCTACAGAAGACATTATATATTCAAAGATGAATAATCAGGGCAAGAATACATTACCACCAGTATTAGCAATGCCATTGCAACAACAACAAAAACAAGTACAACAAGACGAAGGAAAATCTGTTCAACTGATGTGTAATTGTAAGCATGATAGTTTTTGTAACGTATCATTCTACGAATTGAGGTCTAATTCATTTCTCTCAGCCTTCAAAGATAGTTTGTAAGGCACTTAAATAAGTTTCTTCTGTTAGATTTTCGTTGATTAACATTTCCTCGATTTGTGGTGAGGTTACGAGTGCGTGTCGCTGAAGAGTTGCAAACTATGACGAAATGGTTATCCAGTGCTCCGTGGTTTTCAATGGTCTCTCTAACTGATGAGTAACGAAAACCTGGTATTTAATTAGAATTTAATTGGTGGATGGTGACTGGCAGTGGAATCCAGGATAACGTGCATTTCATCCTATTTTGGACTCGTCAGCTGGATGTACTTGCATTCGCCAGTGAGTGATGATGTTCCCAACGGGGTTCGAACCCAGTGCCCATAGTTTCATCATCACTCACTGCGGAATGCAGGTACATCCAGTTGATGGGTCCCGGATAGGACGAAATGCACTTTATCCTGGATTCCACTGCTAGTCACCATTAACCATTTAACTTTTACTTACATGCCCCGGACATTGTCGAATTATCTGCACAAGAAGCCGACATGTCAACCTGGGGCCGGACGCTTGGGTCCAATCCATCAGCGGGAAAATCTAAAATGCAATAAAAGGAAAACCTAGCAGTTTGCAGGTAGTGATTAAATGTAGTTCTTGTTTTCTGAAATTACCGATTGTTTGTGGTTTTCTTAGCTTAACTGAAAGGCATAAATCGAACTTGGACACTGTGGTAGAGTATAACTCCATTATAGATAAGATTTTATTTTGTTAAACCACACTGTGGATATGATTATGAGTAGCGATAGTTTGTGCTCGAAGTGTGGTCATCAGTTAATATTACTGTATAACACTGTGTGATTCTATCAAAATAAAATCTTATCTATCATGGAGGCGTAAATCAATCATGTTCAAATGTTGATTCTGTCTGTCTGTCTGTTTTTGAAATAGAACTTTGCACATATGTGCACCAGTTCAAGTCGCCACACTCCCTCCTTGTAGCACACAAAGCAACAGAAGAAATGCATAATAGACGCAGTAAACAGAGGTGTGAGACAAAGGGATAGTAGTAACGAAGAAAAATGTAGTTTCATTAGAGATCATAAGTCACAAGGAGTGGATGCATCTTCGCCAGCCATTGAGAACGATTTTGAGCCATATCACCAATTGTTTCCAGCCTTCATTGGTTTTTACCGTCCCGATGACCCAACCAGTCAGGAAGTCCACACCTTCCCACGTGACTAGCTGGCTTAAACTAACTGTTGTGGATTTCGTTGACTGGTGAGGCCATGTTTTGGTTTGACCGCTACTAGCTCTTTTCCAGCCTGTTGATTAATTAATTAGTTACTCATAATCTTCACTGGCTTTATCTTTATCTGCGTAACTGTGTAGCTTGTTAAGTGTGAAAATTAGTGAGACATAGATCTAAAATGGTAAATTAGCTGTCAGCAATTGTAGATTGATTGACTTTCAACATGGAGCTGTCATACTGTATGTAACACAGAAGGGTAGGCATAAAGGAGAGAGAAAAAAGAGACTAAAAGGAACGATAATCAGCAGAAATGTGTAGGAGAAAGAATAGTAACGTGGAAAAACAATAGGGTTTAATGGAATTCTGTATTGTTTAATGGATATGCGCAGTCACCGAGAGAGTAAATGCCTCCGTGCTAGTGGTGACCATTTTGAGCCATATCGCCGAATAGTCTGTAACCAATGGATTCTTAGTATCTCGAGAACCACAACTAGGCGGTCTGCTTTTCTCCATATGTGGCTCAAGCCAAATGTTAAAGACTTCATAGACTGAGAAAAGGTTTCTATTTGATCACCTGTACACCTTTTTTTCAAACTAATTCTTCGTCAGTGGTGACTCCGTGTGTGAAATACGTGTCCTAATCATCTAAATCAATGTTGCTTCACAACCTCTTATTTTGCCTTACTCTCCTCATCTAATGCTACGCCTGACTTCAGTAGTACCCACCATACTATACCATTAAACACGAGAGACAGAACGCAAATATATTACCAAAGATGGTTAGTCTTTTCATATCTTCCACTTCTAATGGCCATGAGTCACACCTCTAAATGAGAAAAGAGCGAAGTGCTCCTCTGTACATATGTCCTTCGATGGTTAGTCGGATATCCCGTCTACCCCAGAGGTGATGTAAGTTGGCAAATGATACGCGACCCTTTTTTTATCCGTGCTGAGATTTCGTCAGCAAGTAATAACACAAATAATTTGCATGAATTGTTAAATGTGTACAGCACTTTGAGAAAGTTGTGTTGTTTGGTAAATACTTAGTTTGCTTAACTGTCTTGATTTCAATGGAGCTGTTTTCCATTACATTAGGAACCTGAATTTCAACCACTAGGTGTGATGATTTGAATACCTCTCCACTTACTGTGGTTTGGTCATCCAGATAGCATTGTTAGCCCCTGCACAATGTAGAATAAATAGGTAGCTCGTTGCTGACCACACCGAAATGAGTGACATTTACACATCTCTCATTTTCTTGTTAATCTCATTTATTAATGGCAAATATTTCCGTTCCTAAGTTATTGAAAGGATTCACAATATCCTACGTATGGTTTCTATTGTTACATGTTAGCTGCTACTATTACTCAGTCTACGTGTAGGAATGGAATACTTTTTGTGTGAGTATTTTCCTTTTTTCTACAGAAAGGAACAAATTATCAAGAAGTATGGAAGTCACGAAATGTATAATATGCGTATAGTAGTATCTTACAGTTAAGAGGATGTTAATGTTTCATATTAAGCACAAAAAATAATAATAATGATTACCAACTAGAAAGGAATCTCACAAAGCTTTTTGTCGTAAAATAGGCATATCATGCTACCTACGGAGTAATTCTGTCTGCATTCTAACTCACGTGTTAGATGGTATAATAGGGTGAGTAATATTGAGGTTAGACGTCGAGTGCTAAGTAAGCAGGGACAGTTAGTCGATGAGGTTGGGAAGTTACACTGTTTGAGATGGTTCGGACATGTATTACGCATGCCTAGCCATCGCCTTACTCAACAGGAAATGTTAACTGACATAAGATCATTCCGTTGATTGATTCGACCGAAGTTCTCTGTCTGAGGTTGACGTGTCGGATTCTTGTGCAGATGCTTTGACGATGTCTGGGCATGTAATTAGAAGTTAATTGGTGGATGGTGACTAGCAGTGGAATCCAGGATGCGCATTTCGTCCTATCCGGGACTCATCAACTGGAAGTACTTGCATTTCCCAGTGAGTGATGATGTTCCCAGGCATGCCCATACATCGTCGAAGCATCTGCACAAGAAGCCGACATGTCAACCTGAGACGAGCACTTCGGTCCAATCAATCGACGGAAAAATCTAAAATGCAATTAAATTAACATGACTAGTTGCACAAGAGGTGGCTCTCGTAGCCCATGTGGTCTAGTGGATAACGCTTTGGTGTTTGAAACTATGGGCACTTGGTTCGAGCCTCGGTGGGAACATCATCACTCACTGGGAAATGCAGGTACATCCAGATGACGAAATGTGCATTCTGGATTCCACTGCTAGTCACCATCCACCAATTATGTGACATAATATCAGGTTGGAAAAGAGCTAGTGGCGGTGGTCAAACCAAAACACGGAATCACTCCATTAAATCTTTGAGCCTCATAGAGAGGTGTAGACTGCTTTCCTGGTTTTGCTCCTCGAAATGGTAAAAACCAATGAAGGCTAGAGACAATTAATTGGTGAAATGGCTCAAAATCGTTGTTAATGGCTGGCGTAGATGCATTCACTCCTTGTGATCTATCATATCTAATAAAAATCTACTGTTCTTCCATATTACTATGCTTTTTCCCTCACATATTTGTTTATTATCTATTTTGTAAACCTCCCTTTACTCTCTTCTCTTGCTTTGTGAGCTACATGAAGGGGGTGTGTGGCAACTCGAACTACTGTGCATCTGTGCAAAGTTCTATGTTAAAACCAGTCAGTCAATCACCGAGTAATTCTAGAAGTTAGCTATATTGCATGAGGCTTTTTAAATCCATATTATGTGACCTTTTATTTTTCTTCCAGCTTAAAGAGCTGCTTACCAGTGACTTGGCAACATCGTCAAGTAAATCAACATTGTGTAAACTGTATTGAAATTTCGTTAATAAGTAAAGGATGTCAGTAGATTAATTTTTTGATATGTACCCATATAATATGTGTGTTTTGTTTGACAGTCTGATCTTGGTGACATGTATCCATATAATATGTGTGTTTGTTTGACAATCGGTTATATTTTACTATGTATACATGGATCGATATTCCATTATAATTAGCCAATCATGTTAAGACTGTCTATTGATTTGTTCATTTTGAATATTCGCTCACACACTTGTTCGGACATCCATATTTTGCTCTCACACTCTTGTGTGACACATTGATTCTCCTTGTGTTTGAAAAATAGAAGTATCATCGCAAACCTAGTGGTCTTCTGATTTCCGTCTCTTGCGTCAGGACTATTAAATTCTCGACCAGTACATAACATTTTTTTTCAACACCTCGTAAGAGATACAGAGTATCTATATTAGTGTATAACATGAAAAGTTGAAATTTAAATGGTTTTCAGTATAGACTGATGAAGCGTTGTTCTTTTTTATTTTTTACTGAGATGCTACTTCAATTACAGTTTGTGTGTCTTACATACATAAAAAGAAAGTTTACAATGGGATAGATTTTTAACTACACTCTTCTACTCATTTCTTATTCATTCCTTACTTCAAGTTTTTAAAGTTTCAGAAGTTGTAGGGTTGCTAGCCGCAGTCTCACGGCCAACTTCCTCTCTTTTCCCAGCTTACTACTATCCAGTGAATCACCCGACCGATAGCTGCTACCTTGACGTGGTGGTCGGACTTGCATATCGCGATTAACCAACAAGCTACACTGGCTGGAACATATGTTCCTGCAGGTCCTACCATGCTAGGAAGGCTGTTAGGATAGCGATTAGACTAAAAACTTGGCATCAGTCAATGAAATCCACAACAGTTGGTCTAAGCACGTAGAAAGGTGTAACTTCCACTGGTCCTCGGGACGGTAAAAATCTATGGTTGGAAACAATTGGACATGGCTCAAAATCGTTCTCAGTGGCGCAGATGCATCCACTCCCTGTGATTATGATCTTCAATGAAACTGTTTGTATTTCTTTATTACTCCTTTGCTCACACCTCTCTCACTGTTTCTATTATGCTTTTCTGTACTTTCTTCTCTTGCTTCGCGTGCTACACGAATGTGGCGACTTGAACTTCCGCACATTTGTGCAAAGTTCTATGTCGAAAACAGACAGACAGACAGACAGACAGATTAGACTAAAAGCAGTTACCGGAATTCTGTAAGAATCTTTCTTACACTATGCTGGCGGTCTGAGGACGAAGTCGTACTTCTGGGGAACAGGGATGTAACAGCAGTGAGGTGTTTCCCTCAGGTGACCAGCATGCCAGCCAGCTATGCTGTCTCTCCACTCTGGAGAGAGGGGGGGTTAGAAAAGGTCGACCCCAAAAATTGTACATCTCGACTTACCCTACGGTGGTCCGTAACCGGTGGTAAGTTTACTAATACGGGACCAATCCCAGAAACCAGTTCATACAGGCCGTGTGTGACCGGCCAGTATCAAGCAGTTGTCCCCTGGGCTCTGCGGTCACACAACACTCTTTCTGTTTCAGGTACCCGAAGAATCAATCAACTTCCACGGTATGGGCAACCGGGAATTAACAACCGCCCACACACACTTCCAAAAGCACACGAAGCCTTCCTGAGCATCATTGCCCCTCCAGTGAATCAACTTATGTTTAGGGTAGTGTATTTATTGTAAATCCAGAATGTTAGCTTACTTCTTGTTGTCGTTCTTATTCATATATTTCCTGTATCAAACTTGTGTAATAATGCGGTTGTGTTATGTTTTTTTCTCTCTCTTTCTTTTCATCTCTAGATAATTTGACAACATCACTGACACGTCATCCATCCTTATCCTCGATCAATACAACGCCAAAATCGAAAGAGAATAATTATTTAGCAGAAGACGAATATCCTATTGGTGAACAACAACACCCGTGTTATCCTTTTCTAATCACTTCAATTACCAGTTCAACAATAAATAATAATAATAATGAAGATAACAAAAACATAAATACTGCTCAAAATATTCTTCAGTTATCCTCAGTGAATACTGATGAATATCAGTTAAAAAAACATAAAAGTTCTTCACGAAATACAACAAATTCCAATAAGAAAGTGTCGAAATTATTATTGTCTAAAAGAATAAATAGTGATAGCAGTAAAATTAAAAGTAATTATAGTAGTAATAATAACAACTGTATGCTAACAAAAGCCTCCAATAAACATAGTACTAACAGTACTACTACTATCAGCAATAATAATAACAATAATAGCAGTGATGGTAATGGGAGTAGTACGAGTACATCTTCTCAGCATAATAAAAACTCAAATGGATCACATGTTTGTACAATATGTTCACGACAATTTAGTCGTTCAGATATGCTTGTACGACATGCTCATGTGCATACAGGACATAGACCATTTGAATGCACAATATGTGGTCAAGCATTTAGTAGATCTGATCATTTGTCTACACATCAAAGAACTCATACTGGACAAAGACCATATCAATGTTCATTGTGTTATTATTCTGCATCTCGACGTGATATGATTACACGACATTTAAGAGTGCATCAAAGACGCGTAAGTTCCTTTGAAAGCTTTCCAATTATATATTATTATTATTCCCTTGCTTTCCGAGTGGAACACTTCTTTCTGTTTTCTGCTGTCCTCTTCAGCTGCCTCCAAGATTGACCAGACTGTCTCGTCTCTTCCTCACACGATTTTCTCCATGTCATCCTCACACTAACGATCCACTCGTCACTTCCCACTTTTGGATTCCACTCGAGCGATGGCGTGGCTTGCGATGTCATTGGACCGCCTCCTCAATGTATGCCTGATCCATCTTCACTTTCTCCTACATATTTGTTGAGCGATCGGCTCTTGGTTGGTTTGTTCCCGTGGTTTCTTGTTACTTATTCTTTCTGGCCATTTGATCTTCAGTATGGTGCCAGCGAAGTGGGTAGCTGTTGGTAAAAGTCTGCAACAGGCTGTTGGAAATCCTTTTCGTGACACGCATTGCAAGTTTCTGACCCGTATGGAAGAACTGACTTCAAATTTATGTTGAAAATGCGAATCTTGTTCCGTATGCTGAGTGCGGAAGATTTCGAAAGTGGTTTCAGGTTGATGAAGGCGTATCTTACCTTTCTAATTCTGACTGGCTTTGACATCTTCATCCGTTCCACCTGTTGTTGAAACGATGCTTTCCGGCTGAATAAGTGAAGAAGGTGACCTCTGTTAAATCTCCCCCGTTGATGGTGATTGGTGCTGGTTGTTGTTGCTGTCGATTGGTTATTTTCATCACCTCCGTCTTCTCTGTGTTCACCTGCAGTCCTGTTCTCACTGCCTCTTCAGCCAGTTTGTTGGTTCTCTCTTGGAAGTCTTCGAGTTGGTATGACCTTAGACATTATATCATCTGAGAAATCCAGATTTTCTAGAGTCTTCTTATAGGTGGTCCAGTGTTTTCCTGACTCTTCGTTCCCAACAGTCTGACGCACAACCCACTCCACCACAATTAAGAATATCATCGGTGATAATAGGCAGCTTTGTCTTACTCTATTATAGATAAGATTTTATTTTGATAAGTCACACACTGTTATGCAGTAATATTAACTGATGCTTGGTCACCTAACATGTTATTCATCCTTTCGAATTGTTCGTGACTGACTAGTTTTTTCGTTTTATCTAGAAATAACATTTTGGGCAAAGAAAAATGCCGACTAAATAAACTTGTCTCATGTTACTAGAAACACTCGCTAATTACAAAATAAAACATTCTAATAAAGGCACTGAATACTGACGACCTAACTGTATCTTTGCCTGTCAAATGTCATAGTGACTGCTCTAAACTAAATGGCTTTTTATCAGAAATCAGCCAGTGGTCCAAGGAAAACGGTCTTACCTTAAATCCATCTAAATGCCAAACAGTCAATTTCACCTGTAGGCATAAATCTGACCTAAACAAACTGGTTAGCACTCACGAGGTGTGCAACATAGATGGCACTGAAATAGAGACTAAGTCGAAAATTAAATATCTTGGCGTCATTCTATCTGATGATCTTTCCTCGTCGTCTCATATCTTGATGATTTCTAAGAAAATATTCCGTCTTACCTTCTACATCAAGAAGTTAAGACATTCTGGAATAACCCGACCCTTACTCCTACAATTCGTTAACTCTTACATCCTGCCTATTATTCTGTATTGTTCCCTCTTAGTTTTTCCAGGGCTACTGAAGAAAGACTATACCTTATTACGCAGGATGTTAAAGGTTGTCAGCAGGGTAAGCAACGTGTCACTTAACCAGCTTGTTAATATTCTGGTCGACAGGCACTTGGACTCATGTGAAAAATGGGCTAAATCCATTCTATCTGTCTAACTCACACCACCTTCTTCATTCACAACTCTCCCCTTGTATCTCATCAAGCAGGACCAGAAGCCCATATAGAAAACTATATGCTCACACTAGCAAGTACAAAAACTCACCCATACCCTACTTAGCTCGTGTTTTGTGCGATAAAGAAAGCATTAGGCGTGAAACTTTTAACTTATTAAATAGTCAGTAGAACAACTGGATCTCGTCTTTCCAACTCATATCATTTATAGGTACAACGTTTTTCTTTCTTCCCTTTCCTTTTTTTGTTGTTATGTGCTGTTTTGTTTCTCTCTTCTTTTACAAACTCTACTTCAAACATTCTTCTTCGTTCTCTCACACTCTGTATATCTCGACCTTTTTGTTACCGCTTACTCCAGTAAATATGCTAGCATCTACTTTTCCAACACATTCAAACATTCTGTTCACTTTTGGCTTTGCTACCGACATGCCAATATGTTGTTGTCAAAACTAACCGAGATTACCCATAATCTATGTAGAATTTTATTTATTGTTAATGTACCAACTGGATGCAATACTGTAGTAAAATGCTGAGAATTCCATTCTGTATCACAAGTACTGTTTTGGAATAAAACAAATTATTATTATTATTATCACATTTAACAGTGATGATGATCTACTCCAAGAATCCATGGTTGAATTATGCAGGATTAAACTGTGGCCGTCAGTGTAATCAAATTCATAAACAATCGTAAAATTCATCAAATTTATTTAACTTTAGTACTACAAACTCACTCAGCAATACTATCCCTAACCTAAAGGATCATGGTAATCCGTTTAGATAAAATAAGGTAATCCAAAAAAAACACATTGTAATGACTGTAAAGTCAGTTACATAGGTCAGATCAGCAGTACATCAAGTGTAGTCAGATGATCGGAACATATAGAATTTAGCTGAGTGTAGAACGGTTGACCCCACGAACGTGATTAGTTTAGAGAAAAACTCAGCTATCGGATTTTTTGCATTAACACTATAATCACACAATGAGGTGAGATACGGTTCTAAAAAGTAATTTAGGTGGTCAAATTGGTAGAGGTGGGGAGAGAGGTCGACGAGTGAATCTTTGTTCATGGAGTCTACACTCAGCTGGTACAATATGAATGGCACATCACCAATACCAGAGATATGGAAAATATTACTACCAATGAAATCAAGTGATAAAAAAGTGATTGAATTCTTTAGACGAATTTTGGAAGTTATGTGATTGGCTTGAAATGATTATGAGTAATAAAGTGTACTCGAAACTTCGTCGGTAAATGATACTGTATCGTTGTGTGCTTTTATCAAATAAGATTTATTCTATGATGGAGTTACACTCTATCACAGTTTCATATATCAGTTTTCAACTCTGAGTGCTCCTTGGAAATCATAAAATATCTGTAGGCTCATAATTGATGAAAGTATTGTTCCACAGTTGTGGGTGTTATGGAAGTCTACTATTTTGGATATCTGATGCTTTTATTCTTCATATATCGAAATGTGTGTTTCTCATTGTCGACTTTAACCCTTTTTCAACAATTGTTATTGATGACTCTAAGCTGAAATATTTCCTTTGCCTTCTATCATTTACTAGGAAGCTGTTAATTGCAGGTTCTCGTTTTTCACAAAAGACTATAATCATCATATACTAAGCCTTTAAGTAAACTTAAGTCGTATAGCCTTGCTATATAAAATGCTGTGAACATCATTATCAGTGTTGTTTTGTATTTTAATCAACAAACGGGACCTGTCTAGGTGTTTGTTAGTGTAAGACGTATTTTCTCTAAGGTAACTTGGGTGTGGTAAAAAAAAGAGTAAACTTTGAACAGCTGAACAATAGTTTTAGTCGTAACAATATATCAGTATTATGTTACAAGGCTAGATGTATCTAAACTTTTGTTTGTTACTGATTGACGTCGATTTGGATTACTGAGGGGGACACAAAGGTCATCAAGACTGCAAATAACCACTCTCCCCCACCTCTTTCCAATAATTTTCAAGGAAGAATTTTTGTTGTTTGCTACGTAGGTTCATTGTCTTAGAAAAATGTAAGCGCTGTTATTTATTATTTATTAAAACACAAACGTATACTACATTATGAGCACCAGATGAAGAGTTCTACCGAAATTTGATGTGAATGCATTGAATCCTGCTTTTTATGAACTTTTATCGCTTGTTCCAGAGGTTCATAGTTTGCGTGAGAGTTAGGATACTGATCGGACATCCAGACTGAAGTAGTTGGTCGTCTTAAGAGGACACACATTTCGAGGCTTTGACTTGAGGTCTTATCCACAAGGCAGTAGAGTAGCACTAGAAGCTATTTTCCGTTCCCATGTTTCCCGATGGCCGAACAACGTTCATGCACCATTTGACCCATTTGAATTGTGGATCCCATGTCTGCGACAGGGTATGAATCAGAGTTTTGCAACCCACCTAAGTAGATCTGGATGTCGAGTGAACCGTTGCAAGCGCTTTTTTGATGAGCCCCTCCCCTCGCCGCCTGGATGCAATGAATAGGTCTTTCTTGTCAGAGACCATTAATGGGCGCTACATGAGAGCATTTCGTGAGAAAGATCGAAGTCTACTCACCTTCGGCCGTAGTAGGTCGTTTATGGGAGAATAAATATTGTTACTAATCTTTATTCACTTATCTCGTTTCCACGAATGCATCATGTTTTCCATTGTAGTGTTATTTTCATTTCTTCTAACTTCGTCTCTACATTGTTCCGAACTGGTAGCAGCTTAGACTGAATTGTGAGTTTATACTTCCCTATGTTTTCGGATAAGTTCCTGGCCGAAGTTCCTCTACGTTGATGAGTTATTTTTCGCCTCTTTAAGAACTGATATGCTTAGATTTTCTCGTTTCATACCTCTAATTATCAAATCACTACTATTTATCCTAAAATAAAGTTTCGTTTACTTCCTAGGGTCATATAATTCCAACCAGTGAAGGTCAAGGAAGTACAAAACTACAGTTTACTACAAAAACTTCACAATCCCATTAGGATTCTATGAAGTTGAAAAAAACAATCCAATGAGTATCTGTCTATATGTTGAAGTTTGTGAAATTCTTCAGGTTCACGTAATCCAAGACAATCTAGTCAGCAATGTATATAAAAAGTATCCATATTCTTTCACTGTATGTCTTGAAAACTGTATTCAGATGTTATTTGTGCAATTAAGTGTGAGGGAATATGACAATCAAACAATGTTCTCTTTTATATTATTCAGAAAACAATACAAGTGAGTACTGTTCTTTCTTTACAATGCTGATTGATTGGACAGAAGTGATCGGTCTCAGGTTGACATGTCAGCTACTTGTGCATATGCTTTGACAACGTCTGGGCATGTAATTAAAAGTTAATTGATGAGTAGTGACTAGCAGTGGAATCCAGAATGCACATTTCGTCCTATGTACCTAAATTACGCAGTGAGTGATGATGTAACTATGGGAACATCATCACTCACCGTGGAATGCAGGTACGTCCAGATGACGAGTCCCGAATAGGACGAAATGGGCCTTATCCTGGATTCCACTGCTAGTTACCATTCACCAATTAACTTCTAATGAGTGTTTTTGCATTATTGTGCTAAATAAGCTTATTAACAGCGATAGCAATAAAAAAGCCAAATATATTGAAGGTATTAGACTGTCCACTTAAATAATGTTTATAAAAGTGAAAGGTTAATAAGCTGTAATTGAAGATAGAATCTTGTCACAAACCACTGACATCTATGACATAAAATTTTATCCTACCTTGATAGAGAAGAAAAAACACCTGGCATATGTCTTGACCTGAAGGGTGACATTTCACTCCATCGACCGAAAGGTGTATTGTGGCAGTGTGTAACCGAGAAGGAGATACTGTGAAAATATTCACTGAACTCTGCTCAGCCTCACACATCCATGAAACAGCTTACAGAATAGTGTCGTTCGAAGTGATGATAACTTACTGACGTATGTCATGGATACCTGTTGTCACCATTTCGCTTAATTTTATTATAGATATACTAATGGAATAGACTCTAACTGACTTCAGAGATGTAGCGATTGACATGCTACTAGGGAATAGTCTTGCCAATTCAGATTATGTGGAAAATATTATCATCTTTAGTGAAGGTGGTGATAAATGCAGACTCTTCAAAACACCCTGAGTAGAAATCCTTGAATGAGTTGGCGAGTGATTTGCTCGTGTCAAATGTAAAATGATGCTGTAGAAGTGGACTACATCGACTCCTAGCTTAACGAGATAGGCAGTGAATTGGTAGAGTGTGTTGACTACTTCACTTATTTAGGAAATTGCATCAGCTCTATTGTACTGATAACTGATGAAATCTCAGAATTGATATGAGAGGCTTGTGTGGAATTCGCCAACTTACGTCATCTCTGATGTAGACAAAAATATTCGGCCATCGATCAAAGCATATGTATGCTGCGCAACAGTGAACTCCATCCTTCTTTATGGCTGTGTGATGTAGCCTCTGAAAGTGAGACACCTGGAGAGGCTGGCTAGCTGTCTTTGACTATAGGGGCCTACGTTCTATCTGTCTTGTTGACGGAGTGGTGATTGCCTATGTTGGACAGAAATGCTCGATGTCTGTTGATATGTGTCGGCTCTCCTATTACGAATGCTTCGACGACGTCTGAAGATTTAGCATGATTTTTATTTTTTCTGCTGGTGGGGACTAATAACCATTAGCATCCAACTGGTGAGTCTCAAATAGAACGATTTTTCCATCCTGGTTTCCATTGCTTGCCACTGTCAATCAAAATAATTAATCTGACACATCAGTTACTCCAATGTCGTATAACCTTTTGTATCTGGGTAATCATATTGCCCAAAAGTGTATACTAATCGCGCATCAATAGTAATTATTAATATTTTTACGAGTTGATCACGGATTGGCATCAGTTAGAGTACCATTGAAAACCAGCATCGGAGTACTGGACAGCTGCCGTTTCATCCTAGTTTGGGAACCATCGGCAGTACGCACCCACTGGGATTCGAACCCAGGACCTTCCGGTTACAAGGCAAGCTCGTATACCATTCAGCCACTGGGACCCGATTCAATGGCCAGTGCATGAATTCTAACTTCTACCAATTCGTGATTTAGCGCGATCCCAACCATTGTCGTTGGTGGGACATCCATCCACAGAAGTGACATCTAATTGGACCTCACTGGTCACGACTTCTCACTAGAACTTCAGGAAACTCCATCCTGTAGCAAGTCACCCTTACAAACCAAACCATATAAAATTAATCTGATGCTTGCTAGTGACTTGCTACAGGATGGAGTTTCCTGAAATTCTAGTGAGAAGTCGTGACCAGTGAGGTCCAATTAGATGTCACTTCTGTGGATGGATGTCCCACCAACGACAATGGTTGGGATCGCGCTAAATCACGAATTGGTAGAAGTTAGAATTCATGCACTGACCATTGAATCGAGTCCCAGTGGCTGAATGGTATACGAGCTCGCCTTGTAACCGGAAGGTCCTGTGTTCGAATCCCAGTGGGTGAGTACTGTCGATGGTTCCCAAACTAGGATGAAACGGCAGCTGTCCAGTACTCCGATGCTGGTTTTCAATGGTACTCTAACTGATGCCAATCCGTGATCAACTCGTAAAAACCAAACTAACCTTTACAAACCAAACTATAGATAATCATTGATATCGCATTAACAGATTACTGACTCATGTGTATTCTCTATTCCAGTTATATGTTTGCAATAAAGATAATGAAACTGTTTTTTCCGAGCTTGACCACAAACTGATACCAGTTACAAAAATATCAAAAACCAGGAAGTACGGGACAGCTGTTTCATCCTAGTTTGGCGATCATCGTTAGTACGCACCCACTATAATGCAAGTTTGTAAACCATTCACCCACTGAGACCCAATTCAAATGGCCAGCCCATGAATTCTAACTTCTACTAATACGTGATTTTAGCACGACCCCAACCAATGTCATCGACAGAAAATTCATCTTCACTCTCGACTGGATGAACCTCACTGGTCACCATTTCTCATTAGAATTCCAGGAAACTCCGTTTTATAGCCAGTCACTAGCAAGCATTAGATTAATTTTTGAGAGTTGGTTTGTAAGGGTTAGATTTGTTTTTTGAGTTTGACCATGGAGTTTGACAGCTAGGATGAAACAGATGCCCTGTTGTTTTTCAATAGTTCTTTAAATGATCTCAATCCGTGATCAAACTCAAAAAACAAATCAAATACTTATAAATCAACTCTTCAAAGTCAAATTATTAAAAATTTGAGGAATTATTTACCTTTTTTTATGTGGTTTAGTGTAATATGAAATGACCAGTCGTTTGTTATTTAATTCCATATTAGTTTGTTTATTAGATATATCGCACAGTGAAGAAAAAGTATTATTTACTGGATGACGCTTCGAACAAAATTTATTACTGTTCATAATCATTTCATCAATTCTAATCACACGACTTTGAAACTTGAGTTTTATAGTTTTCTTTGTCTTCAACTATTTGTCGTCGTTGGGGTAGTAGAATTTTCCAGATATCCTCCTGGACAGGTGTTGAATCATTCCTATTACATGTATTTGCAGTTGATTCGATAAACAAAGCTTCTGTTATCAATCTCTCCCTATACCCTGTGACATTAGATTTTAAAACTGTCATCCTATCCCATCCTATTGTATGGTTGTGTGTAACTGCATGTAGTGCTATAGCTGAACTACTCTCTAGATTTCTTATCTTATTCGGGTCAACCAATCTAGATTTAGCTAGGTTTTTATGTTCGGCTAGTCCGACTGCCTCTGTTCTACTAGTTTGACGTATGTATTTGACCTGACAATCATCTCGGGCAGGGTATTAGATAAACTAAATTGTTTTGTTTTAAAGGCTCCACAGGATCCTTTAACCGACAAAGCTTGTTTCTAATTGAGTTTGTGGTTGGTTTGAATGTCAGCCACTTTTATTCCTGCCTTGTTAAGAATTCTGCGTAAGGCTTCCGAGGTTCCTTCTTTGTATGGAATTATTGTTGATGATTTACATTCCTTATTGTTGGTGTTGTTATTACCTTTTGCATTATTATCATTATTATCATCATTAATATTATTATTATTATCACTATCAATACTATCATTATTTATTTTATTTTTACATTTACTTACATATTTCTTGACTAATTTATCCGGGTAATTATTAAGTTTCAAGGCTTCTTTTATGTGTGTCACTTCCTGTCTTAGATTTTCCTTGGTACTACTTAGTTTTTGTGCTCTGTCATTTAAACATTTCACTAATCCTATTTTACTGACATAGGATGGGATGATCGGAAATCCAAATATCTGTTTGAATGTGTGGGTTTTCTGTAAACACTAGTGTTTAGCTTCCCATCTTCTTTCCTTTTTACGTTGCAATCTAATAATTTATCTAATACCCTGCTGGAATTATTGTCAGGTGAAATACATACGTCAAACTAGTAGAACAGAGGAAGTCGGACTAGCCGAACATAAAAACCTAGCTAAATCTAGACTGGTTGACCCGAATAAGATAAGAAATCTAGAGAGTAGTTCAGCTATAGCACTACATGCAGTTACACACAACCATACAATAGGATGGGATAGGATGACAGTTTTAAAATCTAATGTCACAGGGTATAGGGAGAGATTGATAACAGAAGCTTTGTTTATCGAATCAACTGCAAATACATGTAATAGGAATGATTCAACACCTGTCCAGGAGGATATCTGGAAAATTCTACTACCCCAACGACGACAAATAGTTGAAGACAAAGAAAACTATAAAACTCAAGTTTCAAAGTCGTGTGATTAGAATTGATGAAATGATTATTAACAGTAATAAATTTTGTTCGAAATGATGTGAACCAGTAAACGTTTGTTTTTATAATCTGTTTATTGGGTTTCTTTTTGTTTTTTTTTTCTGTTTACAGATTAACTCCTAACTGGTTCTCTCTTTACTTCAATCTGTATGTGATGACCAAGCCTTTTTTTTGTGTTTTCCTTAATTCTCTCTCTCTCTGTCTTACACCTGATCACGTGTACGTGCATGTGTGCATGTGCTACCCTAGGGAGACTGGATGAAAAGGCCATTGTCAAGTGTCTGCTCTGAAATATTGCTAATGTCAAATTATTATTATTATTATTGTCAGTTAGTCATGGCAATAATTGATTAGTTTGTATATTGTAGAATATATGAGAAATGAATAGAAAATATAAATAGAAAAAAGTAGGAAGAGGAATAATTATGTCAATACACTTGAGTAGAATTTCAACTTGACAGTGATGCCTCTTTTTATTGGACTGTGTGTTTATGCAGAAATGAGAATAGAGAAGATAATATTACTTACACTACGCAAGAATGCAAGAGGAATCAATATCAATTTATCTGTCACAAAAACTTTATTTTTGTAATAATTCCAAACCAATAAAAAAAATGAAACAAACAGTATTAATTAATTGATTCATATTTTTCCCTAGTTCCCTTGCCGTCCCCTCCCCACCTCTTTTTTCCCATCTGGTTTATGTATACATCATTATATGTTGTAAAAATTGAGGGAAATACGCCATGACTTTTCTTAAACATTCTATTCCCCTGTGTGGTGGTTGTATTATTCACTGTTCTCTACTGTAAGATATTTATTAACTTTATTTATTTACTTTTTTTGGCGCTGCTGTAGTGTTAACTGTATTCTCCAAAGTATACAGATTGATAAGTGAAGCGATTGAATACTGTTCACTTTGGAACGATCACACATTATCATTACTACATTGTTTTTGTGTTTTTTTTGTATTGAAAGATTGTTTCTATCTTTTTTTATCATTTCAGTTATATTACTGTTAGTTTTGTTTCTGTGTGTGTGCTGTTTCTACTGTCTTTCTAAAATTTCCATAAATGTATGTCAACAGGCGTCTATACATACATACATACATACAGATATATAAGCACCACTTATATGGATATTGTGATAATAATTGTTTTATAATTAAAAGAAAAGTGAACTCATTTCCCATCTCCTCCCCCTTCTTATTCTTCTTCTTCATCCTTGTGATAATATGAATGATTTCTTAATCAATCCAAATGGTTGATAGATCAAAGCAAAATTTATTCCATCTTAAATGTGTGTGTATGTGGGGGGGGGGCATTCCAAATTACTAATATCGTATAGTATTCATTTTAATTTCTCTATTTTTTTTGTATCCCCTTGTGATATATAATACATACTATATGTTGGTATTTCACTGAAATCATATATGACTACTCTTTTTTCTTCGAAGCCTTTTTATGCATTATCTTGCTTTATTCCAACCATTACAACGATAAATTACAAGTTGAATGCATATATTTTGTTTGTTCATTGTGATTCCATTCTTTTATTTTTAAATTCTCATTTCTAGTTTCTTTATTTTCCTATTTATTTTTGTTTTGGCTATTTTTTCAGCGTTTTTTTGTCAAATGCGCATGTCGTGTTGCATTCTCACGTAATTTTTTGGATACTGTCTCCTGTGTGATTCATATAGTATGCGTGTGTGTTCTTTGCTCTCTCACTCTCTCTCCCCCCTTTAACTTCTGGTTGCGTAAGCGCCGCCAATCCCTCCACCCACCACCACCACCAAATCATCAGAAAAAGCAAGAGTGTGTTATTTCTTATTTTTTTCTTTTTGCGAAATCAGATGATGCAGCATATCACATCTATTTTTGTTTTTTTGTTTGGTTTTGGTTTCTGTGTTTATTTTAGATGTTCTCTGTGATTTTTTGCTTCATATCGTACAACTTTCATTCTTATTTTTTTTCTTTAAGGTATTTTTGTTCATTAATAGATAGATACATAAACAGATAGATGTATAGATGTTTTAGAAGAAAAAAAACAACCTTTTTTCCACTTCTTTGTACACTTCAAACTATATGAGAAATTGTGTGTGATGTAGTCTTTGAATGATATTTTATTAAAATGATGTGGTTTTGTTTTAACTACTGAAATAACTTGTGAGTAGTGTAGAGCGTTCTCTAAAAAACATTAGGATGCTATTTTTTTTCTTGATTTATTCTAGATTGCGTATATCAGTTAACTGTACTACGGAGATATATTTCAGATTCATAGGTAAGATTGTATGTGACATATTCGGTAACTAGTAGTTTTGATAAAGCGCTATGATGAGGAGAATATAATCTTACAGTTTTCGTCTTCAGGCTGTATGATTAAATTTGGTTGCTTTTGTTCCTGTACCTTTCTTGTATATTCAGTTGAATTGAAAACTCTAAATTGCAAATAGGTGTAATAGTTTGCTGTATCTTTTGATGATTTCTACCCGTGTATTCCGTGTAGTAAGATAAAATATTCGTAGGTTTGCTTAGGTAGCAATTGTTCAAGAGTTATACGTTTCCGAAATGTCACCTAGTTAGCCTGCCGTACGTATCTGTATATCTTTAGAAAACAAGTATTGTATTGTAGGTAATGAATGAATAATCCGTTGGGAGATCGAGTTAGTGATTCAGTCGTAGGACTCCCGAGTTTTATTCCCAGTTGACACACACACACATATATCTAAACCTCCTGTAGTGTAAGATGGAGGGTTGGGGTTAAGGATAACTAACATCGTTAACCTGTTAAGAAGCAATACCCCGCGGGTGCTAAAATGTCATAGCTTGAAGCTTTTTGCCCTATTCGAAACGCAAGGAATTAGAAAAGAATGAGTGTTTTTGTGAAGGGGGGAAATAAGTTGCCAACTAGTATTCAATGTCACCGATTGCAATAAATTACTGTGAATACCGTTTCCGGTAGTCACTTTTTTTTAAGCAAGTTAATCACATGCTCCCACTCTGTAGCAGAATATTGTGAGATTGATGCTAATCATTTTTCGCCTTTTGCAATGATATACAGCTGTGATTAACCGTAGGATTGATACAGATGAATTGGTCATATGACAGGATGAAATACCCGCTTATTTCCTCCGTAGGTTAAATCTACTCATATGGAATTGAGCTTAACCAACAAGAATCTGCTTTTTACGTTTCTAGCTTAATTCACGTTTATTTTTATTCTTCACCAGTTGTATTTTTGATATTCTATTCAGTTGGGTGTATCGTTACCTCATTCAAATCCTAGAGTAGTAATTATTTCAGATATTATTTGTCTTCTGAATACACAATCATTCTGTGGCGATGTAGCCTATTTAGTTTTGATATTTTTTTAAATAATATTTTGAAACTATTCAGCATGTTTAGATTATAAAAGCCATCTCAGTGAATTTATAAGTGTCTGATGATAGTACCTGAATCAGTCTTAAATTTAAGCCACGTTTAGTATTCGTCTAAAATGCTTAAGATAATAGGACACTTGTAGTTTGGTATGCCCAAAGTCTATTCACTTTATCATTTTTGACATCTCAGATATTTTAAATAATTTTCTCTTCTCTGAAGCTTGTGTTTTTCGTTCTTTTGTTTTTGTATTTTTTCATTTGTCTGTCTGAAATTCAATGAATTTGATTTACATCAGAGGAAGTTGTAGACTGTTGAAGAGTTCCAAACTCGGACGAGACATCTGTACTGCCATCCTTACTTAATTATTGATTTTGTCTTATATATGTTGCCCAAGAAATCTAATATGTCGATAAACTGTTTAGGAGTGAAGCATGACGAACAGTTAATTAAATAGGATCTATAACCAACAGTTCTTATCGTGGAAAACCTCGTTAACTTAGAATATGCAGACGATATAGTCCTTCTAGGCTCATCAGTCCGCTCCGTCCTCTTTTATGTCTGTGAGCGAGACCTGGCCATTGAGAGCGGAAGACATGAAAAGATTAGCTGTCTTTGATCATAGGTGCCTGCGCTCTATCTCCCATGTGAAGTGGTGGTATAATAAGGTGAGCAAGATTGAGGTAAGGCATCGGTCGAGTGTTACGTAAGGAGGGGAAATCAATCGACGAGGCTGTGAAATTACATTGACTAAGATGGTTAGGACATGTGTTACGCATACATGTCTAGTCATCGCCTTCCTCGACAATGGGCAATAATAGCTGACATAGGGTCAGTCAGGCTGTAAAAGAGCTAGCGGAGGTCAAACAAAAACATGTCACGAGTCAATGAAATCCACAACAATTAGTTTAAGCCACATAGGAAGATGTCGACATTCTGACTGGTTGGGGTCCTCGGGACGGTAAAAGCCAGTGGTTGGAAACGATTGGTAACATGGCTCAAAATCGTTCTCAATGGCTGGCGAAGATGCATCCACTCCTTGTGACTTATGATTTCCAATGAAATTATATTGTTCTTCGTTATTACTATTCCTATTACCATACTCACACCTCTGTTTACTGTCTCTATTATGCATTTCTTCTACTTTCTTCTCTCGCTTTGTGTGGTACATGGAGGGAGTGTGGCGACTTGAACTGGTGCACATATGTGCAAAGTTCTATGTTGAAAACAGACAGACAGAGATCATGGAAAACTCATCAGATATATGTGGAAACTATTTGAGGAAATCACTGGGGTAAGCAAATCAATAATGATCCTTCTTCAGTTGGTGCTGGTACTCTTAATATGTCGTCCAACAGATGTTATGATCTCAAATGCCACAAGTGCAAAAAATGACCGCGTCTCTGGTTTTACCTCAAACGATGTTCTCAAATCCTTGAAACCTACCTAGTTCCTTGGTCCAGATTGTGTGCCAGCTATTATGCTCAATAAATGTGTTGACATTTTATGTCACCCTCTCGCTGGTATTTTCCAGTAACACTGTGCCTGACTCTTGGAAGGATATTAAAATTGTTCTAGTGCCTAAGTCAACAAGTGGACAAACTGCTACGTTCAGACCATTACTTCATCTTTTTTAAAAATAATGGAAAGATTGCTTTTAATTAGCCTTGAACCTTCATTGAAGGCTATTATTAATGACTCTAATCAATTTGCTTATAAACATAGTAGGTGTGCTTCAGAGGCCATTGTCGTTTTATATATTAATATTGTCTGTAGCTTAGATAGAGGTGCCAAATATGTTCGGTGTGCCTTCCTAAATTACACATCTGCCTTCAACTTTGTACCTGGGCCTCTTTTTTACTTAACAAGCTTTCTGGGTTACCAAATGCTTGTATTCCTCTTTTTCTGATAGGAAGTAGAACACCTACTCTAGCTGGTGTTTCTCAGTGA